CTCACAATCTGAGCAAAGATCTCTTTGATCTTTACTGCTCCTGGATCTTTCCTGCTACTTTCTAGAGCCTATTTGATGTCTATTGCCCTGCCTTCAGGTCTCCCTTTCTAGGCACTGAAGATAAGCTAAGTAAACACAATGTGAGAAGAAGAATCTGCTTAGCCTCTTTTCCTCTAAGGGGTAAAGAAAGTTAGGAAGCTTGGGACAATTTCAGTAGTAAATGAATTTTACCTTCTCAATTAAGTCTTCCTTTTTAGGAGATAATAATGAATGGCAGAGGACAGCTTTGGGCTTGAAGAGAGATGGGGAGGGCTATATTGTCCAAAGACTTTCTTGACTTTCCACGATGATACTTGAAGACCTCTGAAGAACTTCTCTGGTCAGCACCTCATGTATTCTCTGGTGTCACCTCCCAGATGTTGCTATGCCAGTGAACGTTCTATTTTACACCAGAAATCTGTGCCCTGTCACTGCAGAGCTGCAGACTTACACAGAAAACTCAAGGGAGTAGCATGGCTTGGACATGGGTCTTGGAGAGTTCCTGGGCTGTGCAGTGAGGCCCAGGAGCTGAGAAGTACTCCCATGATTGTAATAGTAGAGAGATAGCAAGACTGTCTTTCAGTGATGGGACTCATCATTTAGGGGGAGCTGTGGCAGGAACTCATTCAGGCATCCATATCCTGCATGTAAGCCTAGGCCCTCCACTGAACTGAGCTTCAGCAGAAGATCAAACTCACTAGCTGTTCATTAAAAATAAAAGGAAAATTGTACCCCACAATGGGAGAGTAAGAAGGTAGCCAGGAGATACTAATTGCTTGAAAAAAATAGCAGGTGGCCACCACTCAGGGCTCTTATAAATCCAAATATTTTTCTGTTGCTGTTGAATCCAAAGGTTTGACAGAGATGACAGGAATAATCTCAGAGTGAGCAATTTTGTGATGCATTACTCTAGTCATTCTTATTTCTGCACACTTTTTCTTATATATGTTTTCTAGTTTACATGCAAGGCTGTCTTTCTGATTATATTCCTACATTTGCCCCACACATTTTCAGCAACTCAGAAATAACATTTTTGTCATCATGATTATCAGTATCAACAGTCCCTAGAAGCAGTAAGCTGAATGACTAGGCTGAAAAAATCATCTATTCTGAGGCAATTGAAAATTGCCTTTGGCATAATCCTGCCGAAATCAAATTTTAGCATTCAATTTCATTCCCAGACAGATGGGTTGATAGTATAATGACACAAATTCTTTTGGACTGATATGTATGCTTAGCAATCTAAAATCATGTTGACAGGAGAAGCCCATAGTGCATTAAAGTTTTCCCAGCCTGCTGTGGTCGCGCTGATATTTAAGTGAGATTCCAAAATATATCAAAACATAAGTATATTATGAAACAGAAACTCATGTATCATAAGCATTGCAAAGTGTGTCTGTGTGCTTTACCTGTCAAACAAGTCCCAGGAGCTTCAGCTCCATAAATGTAAAATAAGGTATATCAGAGGTGAGTGCATTGCCATATGCCACTCATAAGTTATCTTCAAGTGCACCAGGTGAGACAGAGTGCTGCCCCTACTTTGCAGACATATTTCAGACAAGTCACTGCATCTTGCTGTGCTTTGGATTCCTCATATTAAAACAAAAAACATATTAAATCTTACCAACATCATCACACACTGCATTGATAGAGCACATGGCATTTCCCTTTTGCTTTCTCTTCATATTACAGAAACTCTCCTTTGTAGCCTTCCGTATAGGTCTGAATATAACACTGATAAAATAATTCTAATCCACAATCCTGGGTGTTTTCCAGAAGATTTAGGCTGGATTTCTCTTTCAGAATGGAGAGGAACTCTTTCTTTGTTAACTTAAGTATGACAGATTCTCCAGGTAATTGCTGAGTAAACCTACTTCCTATAATCAAGAGGGTAAAGCTAGAGCAGAAAAGTTTAATTGTTTCTGTTGTTGGGGTTTTTCACATCCCACACAGGAAGGTTAATTTGAGAGTGCAGTATTAGGGTTATTAGGGTGTGTGTTCATTATTATCTCATGTAGATACAAGACCCTTGAGGGGGAAATTGCTCATTGCTGACCTGGATCAAACACCTCCTCTCCAAACCCCACAATAGGGCAGGCATGAGTCATATTGAGGACTTTGTGCCAGGAGGGGTACAGGACCAAATATTTTCCTGTGAAATGTTCAGAAAGCTGACTGACATGTGTGTATATGTATATATTTGTCTGAAAGTAGACTGCATCAAATATGGATGAAGCAGGTTTGAAATCAGCTGCAGGTTTGGACTTTTGCAATCTTGGAGACCCATTTCAAAAAACTGACTCAAGAACTGTGTTTTAAAAGTAACAAGACCACTGCCATAGAATAAGGGTGCTTTCAGAAGCACTTGAATACGTCAGCTAATTCCTGAAAATGGGAGTCACTAGGATGTGGACTCTTAGCTGGCTCTGTAATATCTGTAGGTGACTAGTTGAATTTTCAGATACCAAAAAAAAAAAAAATTAAAAAAATCTTTCCATGAAAAGAAAATTTTAATTAACCACATTATACAACAATTATATTTTTAATTTTGTATATCTCTGTTTCCAAAATGATCCATGGCCCTTTTCTCTACTGTTTTGTAAGGTGCTAACAGGGGTAAGAGAAAAAATTATAAATAACTTCATCCAGAATATAAAGGAGAGAAAAGCACCAAGAGTACAAAACAACTGTAAGGTGGATGCCACTAGTACTGTTTTATTAACTCCCATATTCCAAAAGGGTAATGGTCAGCAGATTAAGATTTCTTCTCCAAGCTGCATCAAACTACTGTACATTTTTCAGTCATTTTCATTTAGACTAAACTATTTTTTAAACATTGTAAATGTGCAAATTATATTTTTAAACATTTATTTGGAAGTCCTATTTGAAATTTCATGACAAGTTTTCCCATTGTAAAAATGTACGTATTTATATTTTGTCATAAATCCATGTGCACTCTTCATAATGAGATATGGCAAAGAAAGATGCAGTGCAACAGCTGGTAATTTTGTTTTCACTTCTGCTGGGGCTATTATTGTTGTTTGAGGCATTTTATCAAGTTTTGTAGATCAAATTATCTTCTGTTATAATAAAAAAAATTTACTCAGCAAGGGATATTTTGGTGTGTAATAAAATATGCCTATTTTACAGTTGCAATAAATAACTTTTTCTATACAGTGGTCAAAATAGAATTTCAGCATTGCAAAGAGGGATTTTGAGTGATACCTACTGTCAGACTTTCTTGACTATCAGTCTGATATGAAAGAATTAAAAATACAAAAATAATGTTTCAAATTCTGCAAACAAAAAAAAATCCATACAAACTGAACAACTGAAAAGCCTAAAAGTAAAAATGTTTTTAAATTGACCTTTTTTTAATCTATGATTAAGCAAATGTTCTGAAATAAGATACTCGGGTTCATAAAAGAATATGCATATTTTATATGTACAACTATTAACTTTTTACTTAATCCAAAAGCAAATTTCAGATTGTTGAGAATTGTTGAGAAAAAGGAAAATGCAGATACAATCCATTTAACATTGCCTGTCCCGGTCTGCCTCACTGACTCATGGATGGGCACGTTGAGCTGGGTACCGAGGGCTAAGTGACAAAGGGGGACATGCACGACTGGCTTTGGCAGCCCCAGCCAGTCGCAAGACAGCAAAGTACCCATGCTAAGTGGCAGGGAGACGCGGCATGCTGCAAAGCTGCTTACCCAGCAGGAGCATGGGACCTCGCCCTGGCAGGGGCAGAGCAGCCCCAGAGGTGCTGAGCACTCTTTTCCCAGCTCAAGTCCAGCCCTGGGAGATGCCAAGCACCATGGAGGGCTCAGCAGGCTCAGGAGCACACCGGTGGTACTGCACTTTTGGGGATGAAGTGTGCACCCCACCCCACCCCCCCCCCAGCTTCAGTCACAGAGCAGAAGGCCACTCTAATTTCTCCTTGCCCTTTAAGGGGTGATTCAGGTGTTCCAAAGACACAAGGAGGCACTCAACAACACCTGTGCTGCAGAGCAGACAGCAAAGCAAGGAACCCTCTGTGATTTCTCTGTCCCCCGCACAACTGCATTCCTGCCATCCAAAATGAGGCCAGAAGAGAGCTGTGCAGCACATCCTCTCTCTACCTCCACTACCTGCTGTTTTGAACAGCTCTCCAGTTTCTCTAACACTCTCTCTCCTCTCCACTGTGTCAGCGAGAGCACAGCCCATTGGAAGGGAAAGGTATGGCATGAGGATGCTTTGCAGTTGGTAAAGGCAGAAAGTCTTCCTCCTCTGCTTCAGATATTCTTGCAGCCTCATGAATAAAGCACTATTTTTTCCCCAAAATTAATATCATATCTCTTTAGTGACAGCCCCATTCTGCTCTGAGTGCTTCACTTCTGAGAACAGTGTGCATGGAACTCACTCCTTTGTGCCTGGAAGTAAACAAATGGACTACTAATTTAAATGAATAATTTTTTTAATTCCGTATTCTTTATCGTAATATTCATTTAGCTCTTCTATTATGCAGGGTGCAAAGAGAAAACTGGAAGTTGCATTCAAAGCAATGATATATGATACCATTTTAATGATTCCTTATGTTGTGAGTAATTTATAAATCACCCGGTATCTTCTCAGCGAAGCTTGCCTCTGTTTTTAAAACGTACCTTTTTGTATCCAACAAAGGGTTTCAGTGCAATAAGAATTAAGGTGTGTCTCTTAGCTTTTACCTGCAAGCAATAATGATGTTGTCAAGCATTTCAGGTGAGACCAGCCCAGGATTTTGGGGTGGGGAAAGACACTCTGTTATACAGCATCTTCAGTTCTTCCCTCAGAGGGAGGCAGAGACACCTTGAAGGGCTGAGTATAAGGACATGTACAGAGTGTCTTTTTAAATAGTCACCAGAGCTGGGGGGGGAGGGGAACAGGAACAGGCTTGTAACCATAACTCAGTTGGACTTGTTTCTGAGAAGTCAGATGCCATGGATTGGCTCCCTCACCGAACGGCTGCTTTTCTGTTCCTTTTGTTGGTAAGTCAGATTTTAAAACAATATTTGTAAATGCTGTGACTACGCCAGTTTCATCTTCCTCAGCAGACCACTGCGTTTTCCAATGTAAACTATTCCCCAAAAACATCTTGTGAAATTTACCATAAAAACTAAAGCTCTGCTCATTTTAAACAGCACTTCTGAACATTCCATAAAATCAAATCAGCTTTTCATTAAATACTGACAAATGTTTCTTTTTAGACTTTTGGCGATCTGTTGGTGTTCAAGATGTGACTTTCTATGTTTACTGCATGATTTTTCAGGCAAATGTTTTCTGTGGCTGCTATTTGAAGGTCACAGTTATTAATAAAATGCTGTAATTATAAAAAATTTAATGGTTGGATATAATTTGGTTCTATGTCTTTACTTTTTTATCAGTTGAGGAAATGCCTTTTCCTACAATATTAAAATCTCTTTTCTAAAATGGCTAGAAAGATTGTTTCAGAGCTGACGAAATCTTACAGTTATTTTCAAGAGAGAAAAAATGGCAAAATTTAGTGATCTCAGTTAAGTAAAAATCAAGACTTGGCCTATTATTTCACATTGCAAAGGAGTCCTGTGTTGTTGTGCCCTAGTGTTTGAGCCGCCATGTGCTGAGCAAGTGAATGCATGATGAAAGTGTTGCTCTTTGGGTTTGTTTTTCTCACTGTAAAAGGAAAGTTGTGGCTATGGTCAAGTGGCATAGTTGTTCAATGTGTTCATCAAGGCATGGAAATTACTCAGAAGGGACTTAAAAGGGCTATGGGTGCCCTACTGCTCCTGCAATCTGATTTTTTGTGTGGATTCATTTTACTCATCTGTGCTGACCTCTTGAAATTCAGTAGAGATTTAAGGCCCTGAAGATTGAGAAGAGCAGGATTTCTGCTATAGTTATGTCCTGTGGTTTTCATGAAATTTTACATTTTACACAGTGTATTAGGATTTGTAAATGTTTAACTTCTCATTACTGACTTCTCTAGATACGCTGTAGTCTGAGAAAAAGTTTGTGTTATAGGTTAAGAAATCCTAAACCCATTATGAAAATACAATCCATTAATTTTAGGTGACAGCTCTGCAATCAGTAAAGTAGAACTAATTAACAGAGAGCAGCTGCCAAGCAAACAAGGGCAAAACTTGGCAAAAGCAAGTTATGGTTCGGATAAGTTTCAGCTTGTTCAAGGCAGCAGAGAGGTGTCTGAGACTGGCCTGTTGCACATCACACTAACACTTCTGGATTTTCATGAAGCACTAGCGACTATTCATTTTACTCAGTTACCTGGTGATGCACACTCCCAGTGTGTTGAAGTTCAAAATGCTTGACTGTTTTATGTCTAAGATCTGTCCATTGAAAAGATATTTTACCCAAAGCTGTGAGAAGTAGAGCTTTACTGCTTTACTTCTCACAGCAACTCTTGAGCCATTTTCATTCTATCAGTATATTGTTACAATTGTGAGTGATAGAGGGTAGGTGCTGGGTCAGAAAAAAAAGAGCGATTCTGGAAAATGCCATTGTGTTTTGATGACTATCCAATATTTGAACTTTTACTACCCAGAGGAAACCCTTGTTCTTGTTATGTCTTCTTCTGCCTAGCAATGTTTATGATGGCCTGTACAGTTTAATAGCATCTTTCAATGCTTTAAAGAAAGGTAGCAGACAATCTGTCGAGATCAAATTATACATTTATGTATCCAGTTTTAGTGTATTCTGAGAAAAAAAAAATTTGGCTTTCAGCTTAATCTTTCATGAAAATCACCTGTCTGAATGGTGTGTCTGGTTAGTATATTGTTAATAAGTTGCATCAAATAAAATTAACATGGAGTTATACATATTTTAGTACACTACTGCATTTTCAAAAAAACAAAAAGGGAACTTACCAGCCCTGAAACAAATAATTTTCTCTATGGATTTCACCATTGGTGGGACTGATTCTGCAACCCTTGCTCATGTGACTTCAAAGACCTTATTCTCATGAGTAAGGGAGTTCTGTTTGTGATACTAGCACAGACACGTTTTATGGAAATAACCTGTTTGATCAGGTATGACTCTTCTCCTGCCAGCAATCATGTGACAGCCAATAATTTTAAATTCACCACATCTCTTATGCACTTTTGTCTGGATACATTTTCCCATACGTTATCTAGGCTTATTTCCACCCCGGAGTTCTGTTTGTGATACTAGCACAGACACGTTTTATGGAAATAACCTGTTTGATCAGGTATGACTCTTCTCCTGCCAGCAATCATGTGACAGCCAATAATTTTAAATTCACCACATCTCTTATGCACTTTTGTCTGGATACATTTTCCCATACGTTATCTAGGCTTATTTCCA